TTCTTACTGCACTTTCACTTTTTTCATAGAGGGCTCTGATGTTGTCTAATAATTGACCCTGCACTCCGTAATCGTCAAGAATTCTCCACAGCACATCTCTGTCTACACGGTCGAATGCCTTCTCTTGATCTACAAAGACCACGTTCAGCTCTTTATCGTATTCGAGTGTCTTTTCACAGACTTGTCTTAGTGCAAATATGGCATCAGTGCAACCTCGCCCTTTCCTGAAACCGAATTGTGCTTTACTCAGTAGAGGTTCAACCTTTGCTCTTGTCCTACCTTCTAAGATCTTTGCATACATTTTCCCCACATGACTTAGTAAAGATATTCCTCTATAAGTTCCACATTCTCTCTTGTTTCCTTTTTTCTTCCAGATAGGTACTACAACTGATCTTTGCCAATCCACTGGTACCTTTCTCTCTGCCCATGCTCTATTGAAAATTCTCTCCAGCCAGGTGATCATAGTGTCCCCTCCAGCCTGGATGACTTCTGTTGTTATTCCGTCGATACCAGCTGCTTTGTGTCTTTTACTTGTTTTGATAACTTTCTCTACTTCATCCCGCAGGATATGTGGTTCTAGATGATCTGGAGCCCTTGAATGGAATTCTGCTGTTTCATGTACTCCCGACGGGTTCAAAAGTTCTTTAAAATATTCCTCCCATCTTTTTTTAATTTCTTTTTGGCTGAATAATGGTTTTCCATTTTTATCGTTTATGACTGATGTTGGATTGAAGCTTTCTTTCTCTTAATCGCATCGCTTTCACACTCTTATAGAAGTCTCTTGATGATTCTGTACATAGCTGTGTTAGGTGTTCACCATACTTTTTCCATGATTCCTCTTTGGATTTCTTTATTGTTCTCTTGGTGTCTCTTCGAGTTAGTCTGTACCTAATATAATCCTTTTTCGTCTTTTGTTTTTAACCATATTTGAAACATCTTCTTTTTATTTGACACTGCTTCTTTGACTTCTTCATTCCACCAAGCGGTACCCTTTTTCTTGCCTTTGCCCGTCTTTCTGGTACCACACTTGTCTTTTAATATCTTCGTGATGGTTGATTTATAATAATCCCATTCTTCTTCAATTCTTACTGGTTCCTTGGCAATATCTGCAAAAGCCTTTGTTATTTCCAGTTCAAATTCATGTTTGATATTCTCTTCCTCTAATTTCTTAGTGTTGATGATTTCTTCACGTTTCTGTTTATGTAGACTGTTTCTACTTGAGTTGCATATGTTCATAACTACTGGGCGATGGTCTGAATCCAGTCCCGCATTTGGGACAGCTTTTGAGTCTCTTACCTTCCTCTTCTGCCGTTGTCTGACTAGTATAAAATCAATTTGTGACGCTTGATCTAAGTTGTTCCACTTGTACCACGTTTTAACCTGACTTTGGCGATGTTGGTAGAATGTGTTGGTAATGTAGAGATCTTGTTCAGCACACAAGTTTAGCAGGTGTTCTCCATTTCTATTACAATCTGTGGTTGTGTCGCTGAATGGGCCAAGGTATCTCTCCCATGGTGATCTTCTTTTACCTACCCTACCATTAAAATCTCCCATTACTATGATGTCCTCTTTCTCTTTAACATTATTGATGGTGTCCGTAAGTCTCTCGTAAAAGTCTTCTTTTTCTTCTTCAGAATAACTATCGTTGCAAGGTGCATATATCTGAATAATCGTTGTAGTTTTACTTCCTTCTGTCAACTTGATTAAAATAATTCTTTCTGATATAAATTCTGTTCCTGTTATTAATTTTGCTGTCTCGGGATGAAGTATAAATCCGACACCATGTTTTGCCCTATCTTTAGTGGGTACTCCGCTCCATAATAAAACATAATTTTCATGTATTTCTTTTGTATTATATCCTTTCTTTCTTGTATCCGCAAGACCCATGACGTGTATATTTTTTCTTTTCATGAAATCCACTATTTGTGGCTCTTTGTTGGCAATACCACATATGTTCCATGTGCCTATGTAAGTCGTTTTTCTGTCTCGTCGTCCTTTAACGTTTCCAGTCCATTTTCCGTTTGGGGCTGTCCGTTTATTTATCTCCTTTCTAGTTTTCGTAGCAATAAAAAATCCACTGCCGGCTTGCTAGGCCAGTCGCAGTTTAAGGGAAAATCTGACCAGATGGACCCCATCCCATCTGACGAGCCAGAGCCTCGTTCGCCTGTGGCCTCACGGCCACAGTTTCCCGGTCTGCACCACTGGGAGGAGAGGTCTCTATCACTTTCTCTATATATCTATATATCTCTCTCTAACTCTCTCTTTATCTCTGTCACTCTCTCTCTATTTATCTCTATTAGTCTCTCTCCGTCTCTCTTTGTCTCTCTCTCCCTCTCTCTCTCTTTTTATCTCTATCACTCTCTCTCTCCTTATCTCTTTCTCTTTCTTTATCTATATCACTCTCTCTCTCTTTTTATCTTTATCACTATCTCTCTCTTTATCACTATCACTCTCTTGCTCTCTCTTTATCTCTATCACTCTCTCTCTCTCTCTCTCTCTCTCTCTTTATCTCTACCACTCTCTCTTTTATCTATATCACTCTTTCTCTCTTTATCTCTCTCTCTCTTTATCTCTCTCTCTTTATCTATATCACTCTCTCTCTCTTTATCTCTATCTCTCATATTCTCTCTCCCTCTCTCTCTCTCTCTCTCTCTCTCTCTCTCTCTCTCTCTCTCTCTCTCTCTCTGGCGGTGGAACACAGGTAGGGCGTCCTAACTTTATTTGTCTGACCTTTCCGGCTCTCTAGCGAAGTTGGTTAAACCTGACTTTCGCGGCGGCCGGGTGACCAACTCCTTGTGGTCCGGGTTCACTCCCGGGGGTAGGCAGAAAAGCCACATTTCTCCCAGATTAACGGTACCTATAATGGAATCAAGGCCGAAGGGTTACGATATCCATAGTACCGAGCCAAAGGGTTTACAACTCATGGTTTCTGGATACGTTAAAAAAAAAAATTTGTCTGACCTGCAGATTCCAGTACATGGAAACGTAGTGGGAAGTAAAGTCGATCTTCGTAATGTTGACCACATCACCCACTGAGTTCCCACTGGATTATAAAAATATAGGTCTAGCCTTCATCATCATCATCATCTTCATCATCATCATCATCATCATCAGGTGCCTTGTCGACCAGCGTGAGCGATCATGCCTCTCCATAATCTGCGATCTCCTGCAGCATGTATCAGTTCGTGTGCCGACACACCTCCATGCCATACAACAAGACTGTCAAGCATCTTCTCTCGTTGTCTTCCTCTATCCCTCCTTCTACCGATCTTTCCAGTGGTCACAACATGTTCTATTTTCCCTATTCTCATAATATGGCCGAAATATGATGACTGTCTCCTTCTGATATGTGTGATACGTTGTCTTCGGGCTCCCGCCTCTTTCAAAACCTCTTGGTTGCTCTTTTTGGCTGTCCAAGGTATTCTAAGCATTCTTCTGTAAAACCACATCTCTGAGGCCTCAAGAAATTGTTTGGCCTGCCTACCGATTGTCCAGGATTCATAGCCATATGTTAAAACTGGATGTATGTTGCAAGCAAGAATTCTTTTTCTAACTCTCAATTACAAGGATATATTGCACAAGATATTTTTCATTTTATAAAATGCAGTTTTTGCCTGTCCTATTCTGTTTCTTATCTTAGTTTTGCATCTTTCATCTGAAGTTATCCATGTGCCCAGATACTTAAATTTCTGTTCTTGTCCTAAAATAATATCATCGACTTTCATTACACATTTAGGAATTATTCGTTTCTTTGATACCACCATTACTTCTGTCTTCCCATCATTCAAACTGAGGTCCATTCTTCCACTTTCTAACACCACAATGTCTATCATTTCCTGTAGTTCTTTCTGACTTGTCGGTATCAAAACTATGTCATCAGCATAACGTAAATTATTTATATTGTGCCCACCAACCACAATTCCGGGTATACCAATTAAAGATCTCATTATATATTTACTGTTTATTGAAAACAAATCAGGTGACAGTACACATCCTTGTTGTACGCATCTCTTTATGCTTAGAAATGTACCTAAACAGTTGTTAATTCCTATAGCTGCTGTTTGCTGCCAATACATATTCTTTATTGTTCGTAGATCTGTTCCATCAATGTTGAATTTTTCTAACAGTTTGATTACTTCTTCATGCTTCACACAGTCAAATGCTTTTGTATAGTCTATGAAGCATAAGTACAAATCAGTCTTTACTTATATAGCTCTTTCTGACAATGTCCTCATGATGTATATGGCATTGTATTGGGTATATAGGTCTAGCCCTATATACCCAATACGCATAAAGACGTGGAACAGTGTCCTTTACTTCCCTTATAGTAAATCAAAAATCTCACAGGTGTTGTTGAAAAAAATTCTATATTTTACTCATTAACTTAATAAATCTGCTTAGACCTAATCTATTAATATAATGATTCTCGTTCTTCAACTTCTGCGCTTTAGCCCATAGTGGAGCATGGGCCCTCAACTAACTTACACAAAGCCGTCTCATTCTTTGTTGTTACATGCAGCTCCCCTGTCTTTTCAACTTCACTCTCTAGCTGCCTTCTCCATGTGTGTGTGTTTTTCTCTTCTGCCTGTATTTCTATGTCTCTGTACATTCCAATGCAAAGACATTCAAGTTATATTGCGGACCGGTTCTGCACCACTTAGTGGTGAATTGATGTTGTGAGGGTTCTTTGGAAGTAAGTGAACAGTGCGGATGCGGAGGTACAAATAGATCTTTATAGCCAACGCTCAGGACTCGTGAGAAAGGCGAGATGGAAGTACAGATAGCAATTTACTAGTGCCGTCGGAATTGGATCTCTTCGCTTGCTGCTGAAGATGGGGACGGAGCGCTTATGGGAATGTCCCGAGTCCTTTGATGTCGATTCTTAATTCAACATTCAACATTCTGGTTTTCTCAACATGTGTCCTGTATAACGTCAGCGTCTGTTCCTCACCTGTCGAGCCACTACATGGAGTTTGTTTGTCTGTTGTAGTCACATCCCCATGGGTTTTACAACAACAGCCATTGTGATTCTGGTGGCCATCGGCCTCTGGTATCTTGTACCTCGACAACGTGGCCAAGGGAAAGCATTCGTGTCTCAGCCCAACGCATCCTATGATTATATCGTTGGTAAGTATTCGTAGCTATGTATTATCTAATATGGGTTGAACGAATGAACGAACAAACGAACTTTATTTTCGAAGAGACACAAATCAGGCACGCAGGCCCATCTTACATTCGGCTCTTTGGTATTTTTTTTTTCAATCAAGAATTTTACGTTCATAAAATAATTATGTACTTAAAAAAAAAATTAACACACACACATACACACACACACGCGCACAAAGAATGGGTGATGAAATGCACGCGCCCAACCCGTCACTAACTTACACACACTCATACATAGATAGATACATGCATAAATATATATAGACACACACACACACACACACACACGTACACTCACACACCAGAAAACATATACATCGTTAGGTTAATGATCGCTGCTCTAGATGATGATAGTGTGATGATGATGACGTACCAATAATTATAAGTATGAAAATAATAATAATAATGGTGCTGATGATGAAGTGGATTATTCAAACATACGGTATGATGCACTTCATTATCGCATTTGTTTAAACAAAAGAAGTTTTCTCAAAACATCACAAACTTCCTCTTACACCAACAATAAACGCTAATCGAACAAGCCACAGTATTTTATCACTTTGTCTATCTTCAATCTTCTCTTGTACGTGCTCCAAGTTTTACTACCACGTTCAAAAGAACCTCGGCAATAATTTTAGCTGTCAATGAAAATCTCTACATTTTCCCAATACGGCTACCTACCATAAATTTGTCAAACACTCGCAGACAAGAAAATTATTTCCTACGTTTCCTCAATAAAATTACAAGGAATTTGTCCACGCGCCCCCCCCCCCCCCCCCCCCCCACTACATGCTCCGTTCCTGTGCCAGTAAAAATTAAAAAAAAAAAAAAATGTCCCTCACTGTCGCCTTTGGAAACAAAAAAATTGTCATGGCACAGTCAAGAAATATGCGCACACAGTAAGTGCATAATGCAGTTTTTAAAGGTGCCAAGGCCAACAGTCGCCTCCAGAAATTCAATTTGTTGTTGAAAGAAATAGTCAGTCACGATAAGTTGGCAATACACACGTAAAATTATTACACAGGGCATTTCACAATCCTACTCGTAAACCGATTATATGTCGTTTTGAATACCACAGCACAACCGCTGCACAAATGAAAGACACTGAACATGACAAACACATCTCACAGTGTTGCACCACACAATCTTTTTTTCACAGTTGGCAGCGGATCAGCTGGAGCAGTTGTAGCCAGCAGACTCAGCGAGGATCCGAGAACCTCGGTCCTTCTTGTGGAGGCAGGACGTGATGACAATGGGGACCCCTACATTTCAACCCCAGCTTTGGCGGTATCCATACAATCTGATGACCCGGAAGTCGTCGAAAACTTTTATACAGGTAAGTAATGTAAAAAGTAAGGAATCCTGTTCTATTCCCTTAAGTGTACTGGGTGTATAGAAAAGCTAAAGTAAAAGGCCCCTTTCTTTGCCTTCAGGCGTAATGGGCATATAGGGCTAGACCTATAATTTATAGACAAATCAGCACTCTGTGTGTAATATGGTCAGTATAGATCCATTGATACTCTGTGGGTAATGTGGTCAGTATAGATCCATCGGTACTCTGTGAGTAATGTGGTCAGTATAGATCAATCGGTACTTTGTGGGTAATGTGGTCAGTATAGATCAATCGGTACTCTGTGGGTAAGGTGGTCAGTATAGATCCATCGGTACTCTGTGGGTTATGCGGTGAATATAGATCGATCGGTACTCTGTGGGTAATGTGGTCAGTAAAGATCCATCGGTACTCAGTGGGTAATGTGGTCAGTATAGATCAATTGGTATTCTGTGTGTAATGTGGCCAGTATAGATCCATTGGTACTCTGTGAGTAATGTGGTCAGTATAGATCAATCGGTACTTTGTGGGTAATGTGGTCAGTATAGATCAATCGGTACTCTGTGGGTAAGGTGTTCAGTATAGATCCATCGGTACTCTGTGGGTTATGCGGTGAATATAGATCGATCGGTACTCTGTGGGTAATGTGGTCAGTAAAGATCCATCGGTACTCTGTGGGTAATGTGGTCAGTATAGATCCATCGATACTCTGTGGGTAATGTGGTCAGTATAGATCCATCGGTACTCTGTGGGTAATGTGGTCAGTATAGATCGATTGGTACTCTGTGGGTAATGTGGTCAGTATAGATCCATCGGTATGATGCCATGATGCTTTACTGACGAGAATATTATCTCTCGGCCATTCTTCTGCGTCTTTTTTCCCTCCTCAAGCAGGCGCGATGGTGACCACATTACCCACAGAGTACCGATTGATATATACTAGACCACATTACCCACAGAGTACCGCTTGATATATACTAGACCACATTACCCACGGAGTACCAATTGATATATACTAGACCACATTACCCACAGAGTACCGATTTATATATACTAGACCACATTACCCACAGAGTACCGATTGATATATACTAGACCACATTACCCACAGAGTACCGATTGATATATACTAGACCACATTACCCACAGAGTACCAATTGATATATACTAGACCACATTACCCACAGAGTACCGATTGATATATACTAGTCCACATTACCCACAGAGTACCGATTGATATATACTAGTCCACATTACCCACAGAGTACCGATTGATATATACTAGTCCACATTTCTAACCGTTTAACTTTCCATGATCTAAAATGCAACTTCAAATAATTTTTGTTTTATCGTTTTCGCAGAGCCAGACAAATCTAGATACACCGGTTTAAAGAACGGGCAGGCGAAATGGCCAAGAGGCCACGTCCTTGGAGGTAGTAGCAGCATTAACTACATGTTGTATGTCCGAGGATCCAGGAATGATTTTGACCGCTGGGCAGTGTATACAGGTGACCGTCAATGGGACTACAATCATGTACTGCCTTATTTCAAGAAGTCTGAGAAGATGCAGAACCCAGAATTATCAAACTCGATATACCACAACAAATACGGTCCACTGGGAGTTAACACTATCGATTCTAATACAAGGACAATCATTAAAGAGAAGATTCTGAAGGCTGCGCAGGAACTGGGGTATCCAGTAAACGACGATTACAATGGAAGGACTATGGAGGGTATAGGATATGCCCAGACATTTACTGAGAATGGCGAAAGATCCAACACAGCCAGAGCCTTTTTGCGTCCGGTCCTAGAGAGAGAGAACCTGCACATTTCATTGAAATCTCGAGTACAGAAGGTGATTATCAACGACAAACAAGCTGAAGGAGTCGAACTGGTTAAGGATGGAAAGAAGTATGTGGTACGAGCGAAAAAAGAAGTAATACTATCTGCAGGAGCAATAGAAACCCCTCAGATCCTGATGTTGTCAGGAATTGGCCCAAAGAATCATTTAAAGGATTTGAAAATCCCTGTAGTGGCCGACCTGCCAGTGGGAGAAAACCTACACGACCACACACTTGTCGAAGTACCTATAAAATATAAGAGTTCGGGTAAAAGCATTCCTTCAGCTCTGTCAAAGTTATGGGATAAAATTAATTACAAGTTCTTCGGATCTGGTCCTTTGTCAACATGTGGGTCTGAATTTAACATATTCGCATCGACAACAAACGATAATAAAAGGAAAGACTGGCCAGATCTTCAGATTATGCTTATGGGTGCTGGGTTTTCAGTAGGCTCAAACTACTTAGAGACGATGAATGTGGATCCAAAATTGGTTAAGAGCTATGCTTATCGAGATCATGTAGAAGTTGCGATTAATTGTTTTCCCTGCGTGCTACGTCCAACCAGCAGAGGAAAGCTTCAGCTACGGAGCAGAGATCCCTTTGACCATCCCGTCATAGTCCCTAATTATTACGAGACACAAGAAGACGTGGAGACGATGCTCAAAGGAATACAAATTTGTAAGAATATTACTGGTAGTGCTGCACTTTCTGATGTCCGAGCAGAGTTTGTTGACAATCAACCTTTGTCCGTTTGCCGAGAACATCGTGTGGGTTCCGACGAGCATTGGTCATGTGTGATGAAATCAAGACCACACACCGTCTTCCATCATGTCAGCACTTGCAAGATGGGTGCAGCTAACGACTCCTCTTCTGTGGTGGACCCTCAACTGAGGGTCCGGGGCGTGGAGGGTTTACGAGTCGCAGATGCTTCCATTATGCCGTTCATCGTATCTGCAAACACGAACGCAGCTACAATCATGATTGGGGAAAAGGCCGCAGACCTCATTCGGGGACAACAGTTGAAGCCTCTATACAATGTCTAACGTCAAAGATGTACATTCAGTTTAAGGATGATAGATAGAAGAAGGAACGTATCTTCCTGTTTACACTCATCTATCAGAAATTTTAACTCATCTTCTCATCATCATTATCAAGTAGTAGGTCCTTTGCAGAACGTCTTTCTTATCACGGTCTGTCTGAAAGAAACTCCGTCTCTCACCAGCTCTTCCGCCTAGGCTTTTTCCTACCCAAGGTGTCACATATATCCACTGTCCATCCTCACATATATCCACTGTCCATCCTCACATATATCCACTTTCCATCCTCACATATCCACTGTCCATCCTCACATATATTCCGTGTCCATCCTCACATGTATCCACTGTCCATCCTCACATATATCCAGTGTCCATCCTCACATATATCCACTGTCCATTCTCACATATATCTAGTGTCTATCCTCACATATATCCAGTGTCCATCCTCACATATATCCACTGTCCATCCTCACATATATCCAGTGTCCATCCTCACATATATCCAGTGTCCATCCTCACATATATCCAGTGTCCATCCTCACATATATCCAGTGTCTATCCTCACATATATCCAGTGTCAATCCTCACATATATCCAGTGTCCATCCTCACATATATCCACTGTCCATCCTCACATATATCCAGTGTCCATCCTCACATGAATCCACTGTCCATCCTCACATATATCCAGTGTCCGTCCTCACATATGTCCAGTGTCCGTCCTCACATATGTCCAGTGTTCATCCTCACATATGTCCAGTGTCCATCCTCACATGTATCCACTGTCCATCCTCACATATGTCCAGTGTCCATCCTCACATGTATCCACTGTCCATCCTCACATATGTCCAGTGTCCATCCTGACATATCCACTGTCCATCCTCACATTTGTCCAGTGTCCATCCTCACATTTGTCCAGTGTCCATCCTCACATATCCACTGTCCATCCTCACATATCCACTGTCCATCCTCACATATCCACTGTCCATCCTCACATATATCCAGTGTCCGTCCTCACATATATCCAGTGTCCATCTCGTGATGGTCGACACCTGCCCATCCTTCATGGCAACATACTTTCTGAGATTATTTTCCAAACCACCGTGGCGCTTGATATACCACTGTGGCGCTTGATATACCACCGTGGCGCTTGATATACCACCGTGGCGCTTGATATACCACCGTGGCGCTTGATATACCACCGTGGCGCTTGATATACCACCGTGGCGCTTGATATACCACTGTGGCGCTTGATATACCACCGTGGCGTTTGATATACCACCGTGGCGCTTGATATACCACCGTGGCGCTTGATATACCACCGTGGCGCTTGATATACCACCGTGGCGCTTGATATACCACCGTGGCGCTTGATGTGGCAATAATATTTTAGTTTCCGAGGTAGATTCTGTTTTTTAGCAAATCTTCCAATATTTTTCCGGTCTTATAGGATCCCCATAATAATATTATAGTAGTTGTCCCTTGCTTTCTACATCAGTAGAGCTTTAACCTATGCCCCCAGTCTTGGCATCCTTTAAGATTACCTGGGCAAGTGAGTGAGTGCCCTGCTCTGTGATGTTCCTGCTAACATCAGAAGCCAGCCCAGACGTGTACACTTATCCCGGTGGATACTCGGTCCCCATACCTGCGCTAGTCACATCACAGGGTTTGTACCATCTGTTCCAGGTCACTTGTGTCACATTTCTGCATCTTTCATCAGCTACAGAAAGCTCATTATTTCGGTAATGGTAATACAAATATGGAACTTTAAAACAGAAATATTTGATTCAAAATAGGAAAAGTGTATTACTGGTGCACTAACATTGACGTACCTTACATGCCTTAAAGCAACAGAGAGATCAAGAGGGGAGAGAGAGAGAGAGGAACACAGAGAGAAGGGAGAGGGGGAAAGGAAAGCGAGAGGGGGAGTGAAAGAAAAAACTGGAAGAGAGGGGAAGAACAAAATGACGTAGAGTGAGATAGAGTGGGAGAGAACGTAGTGTTAGAGAGTAGGAGACGGGGACAGTTCGGAAGACTGAAATGGAGAGAGAGAGAGAGAGAGAGAGAGAGAGAGAGAGAGAGAGAGAGAGAGGGGGGGGGGAGGGGGAGGGCGAGGTGAGACAGGGGCGAGGAAGAGAGTGGCAGAGGGAAAGAGAAAGAGAGAGGGAGAGTGAAAAGTAAAGGGGAACCATGATAGAAGGGGATGGAAAGAGAAGTTGGTCACAGAAAGCCAACAACTGTAATAAGTACCAAGGAACAGTTGGCACGGAACACCAGCATCTGTGCCTAATCGGAATTCTGATTGCTGTGCATACGTAAATAATAAAACATGACCTTGCAGTCGCTTAAGGACACATGATATCATGGACACGTGATTTCATAGACACGTGATATCATGCAAAAGTGATATCGTGGACAAGTGATACCATGGACACGTAATAACACGGAAACGTGATATCATCGACACTCTGGGCATGAAAGTTCACGGGGAGGGAAGATTGACAGGGGCCAAAGTTTCCTGTGTACCATTATGAGTTATGCAATATGCAAATGATCTGTTGCATGACGATGATTTTTGCCTCTTGTATCTATCAAAAAGTTTTTTTTTAAAAAGGCTATCACAGCACTTGACATAGTTGCGTCCCTTTACAGGAAGTTGCAGAACCAATCCCAGCATTTATTTTGGCTGTTGTGGTTTTTCTAGGCAAATTTAACGTTCAGTAGTTTGCCATTGCTTACTAAACAGTCGGCTCTTGGCAACACTGTCGAAACTAAACAAGACAAATCGTTCGCAGCTGAGATCGAACCCGGCACATTAGCATTAAGAAGCGCGATAGGAACCCCTAAGCCACTGAGGCCGACAAGTATCTTTTACAGTAGCGCTAATTACAAATAGTCCCTTTTCATAATTTTAAATTGCAAACATTTTAGAGGTAGTTGGTGTGATAAATCCAGGTACGCCTATTTTAAAGATTGAATGTACCGTCACAATCTTATTTGCATAACTGCACTCACAGGAAGTCAATCAACTGCATTAGCCTCCTGTGAATTAGATGAAACAATAATTTTTTGCATGCGGATTAAGCTTTCAAAATAATCACCCGCATAACTGTTCAGGTAAAATGATTTCCAAAACAATGTCGCCAACTAAACTATCTAAAACAAAGTTAGGAATGATATTATCAGGTAGACCAGTTGAAACATGTGATATTATCAGGTAGACCAGTTGGAACATGTGATATTATCAGGTAGACCAGTTGGAACATGTGATATTATCAGGTAGACCAGTTGGAACATGTGATGTTATCAGGTAGACCAGTTGAAACATGTGATATTATCAGGTAGACCAGTTGGAACATGTGATGTTATCAGGTAGACCAGTTGGAACATGTGATGTTATCAGGTAGACCAGTTGAAACATGTGATATTATCAGGTAGATCAGTTGAAACATGTGATATTATCAGGTAGACCAGTTGGAACATGTGATGTTATCAGGTAGACCAGTTGGAACATGTGATATTATCAGGTAGACCAGTTGGAACATGTGATATTATCAGGTAGATCAGTTGGAACATGTGATGTTATCACGTAGACCAGTTGGAACATGTGATGTTATCAGGTAGACCAGTTGAAACATGTGATGTTATCACAGTCGACGTCACTGCACATTGGGCATTTCCATGCGTGCTCAGTCCTCCGATGCAGCAGCCACTCCAAAGTACTTGTACTAATTGTTTGAATGAGAAGCTGGTTATATTGTTTCCTATCTCGGCCTCGAAGACGACACAGACGTGCCTTACCATGCTTTACTCCAGTGTTAGGCAATCGTGTTATTGTCAGGGATTCCTCATTACCCACTAGCCTAGTCCGTACAGCCTTAACGATATCTGCTCTGCCCATGCTTGTTCCCACAATCCTTAGATCAGTGCTTGCCAGTTGGTCGGCTCATTCCTTTCCCTTTTCGCCCGCATAACCCGGTGTACAGATCTCCCGCATGACCCGGTGTACAGATCTCCCGCATGACTCGGTGTGTAGATCTCCCGCATGACCCGGTATGTAGATCTCCCGCATGACCCTGTGTGTAGATGGCATTCATGAACCGGTGTGTAGATCTCCCGCATGACCCGGTGTATAGATCGCATGCATGAACCGGTGTATAGATCTCCCGCATGACCCGGTGTGTAGATTTCCCGCATGACCCGGTATGTAGATCTCCCGCATGAGCCGGTGTGTAGATCTCCCGCATGACCCGGTGTGTATATCTCCCGTATGAGCCGGTGTGTAGATCTAGGTTACGCAGGTTAAGTGGGAACAAAACTGTACAGGAGATTCATTGAGAAGCAAAAGCTCAAATGTTTTGGACATCTATTAAAAACGTAGCCAGAACAACAAGTAACACAGACGCTCACCACTGAAAGATATGATGTGACAGCAAGAGGTCGCCCTAGAAGAACATGGACTGACGATTACAAAATGTCCCCATCGACACTCAATGACAATAGCATTGCTGACCATCAACCAATGGATCGCAAACTTTTTCTCGCCACGACGCTTAACGGCAGAAGTGGAAAATGATGATGATGATGAACACAATAAAATTAATGGCAGTATATTCTATTTTTGAGGGGTAAATTATTAGTCCGACAAAGATCATAGAAATTCACCGCTTCGAGAAAACAGTAATACCTGGGCAATTTTAATTATAAAATCACTGGTAACACATGAAATCTCAGATCACATGCAACAATTTGTAGTGATCTATTCAGACGTTTTCCAGATATTTTTGTAAGTTTGAGGACAAAACTTTTGGGACGGAGTCTAATACATAGGGGTAGATAGTGCACAGTTGTCTTTCGTATACACATTATGTACCTAATATGAAGACCTAAGAAAACGTATCTCTACCAGCAGAAAGAGACAATGGTAATCATTCTTTGGCGACGGTGTGTGACAAGTAATGGACCCTTTCCCACGCCCTCAGGCGTGTTGGACATAGAGGGCTGGAT